CCTCAAAGTTGCCGGGCAAGTGCGCGAACCACCGGGCTACCGAGACTTGGGGTTAGCGAGGGTTAAGCCTGGGTTAACCCTAGTTTTGAAAAACCAATTAGGGTTAGCTCAGGAAAGGGTTAAAGCTTGTTCCAAGCTATGGTTTCCGCATATGAAATGAAAGAGCACTTCGTTGCGCATCTTCTCAACACAAAATGGTCCGGAAAAAAGAATAACACGGGGGTTTAAATGGGCCCGAAACAATTTATACCCCAGTGGCTCCGAAGGGGTTAATGTGTCCGATTTGGTTTCAGCTAGTTTTCAGCCATTCTAGAGTTCACAGACTTTTTTGTATACTTACAATGATACAGCAGACGGTGTTGGACTTAGCAAAAAAAAAAGTTTTTAAATAGCTTCGATAGGGACTCGAACCTGGGACCTCAAAGTTGCCGGGCAAGTGCGCGAACCACCGGGCTACCGAGACTTGGGGTTAGCGAGGGTTAACCCTAGGGTTAAGCCTGGGTTAACCCTAGTTTTGAAAAACCAATTAGGGTTAGCTCAGGAAAGGGTTAAAGCTTGTTCCAAGCTATGGTTTCCGCATATGAAATGAAAGAGCACTTCGTTGCGCATCTTCTCAACACAAAATGGTCCGGAAAAAAGAATAACACGGGGGTTTAAATGGGCCCGAAACAATTTATACCCCAGTGGCTCCGAAGGGGTTAATGTGTCCGATTTGGTTTCAGCTAGTTTTCAGCCATTCTAGAGTTCACAGACCTCTTTTGTATACTTACAATGATACAGCAGACGGTGTTGGACTTAGCAAAAAAAAAAGTTTTTAAAAAGCTTCGATAGGGACTCGAACCTGGGACCTCAAAGTTGCCGGGCAAGTGCGCGAACCACCGGGCTACCGAGACTTGGGGTTAGCGAGGGTTAACCCTAGGGTTAAGCCTGGGTTAACCCTAGGGTTAAGCCTGGGTTAACCCTAGTTTTGAAAAACCAATTAGGGTTAGCTCAGGAAAGGGTTAAAGCTTGTTCCAAGCTATGGTTTCCGCATATGAAATGAAAGAGCACTTCGTTGCGCATCTTCTCAACACAAAATGGTCCGGAAAAAAGAATAACACGGGGGTTTAAATGGGCCCGAAACAATTTATACCCCAGTGGCTCCGAAGGGGTTAATGTGTCCGATTTGGTTTCAGCTAGTTTTCAGCCATTCTAGAGTTCACAGACTAGTCGAATTGTGAGCAGTCATCGCCCATCGTATGTTTATATGGACCCACTCCAGTAATTAATTTTATTATGTTAATGAATCGTTGATTGTATACGAATGTAGTCCATGATGCTATTTTTAGAAATCCTCCTTCTCCCTCGGTTTTGAGGGTTTTGCATGCCTATTTTTGACTAATTTTTGGTCTAGATTTGGAATTTGATGTCTGAAATTACACTTTCTTTCAGATTTTGTGAGATGATGAGAGATTTTCATGCGGAAGGATAATTCTAAAAATAGTCGTGTTATAGAAGGTTGAATTGCCAGAGTGTGTGCATATCCATCAGTTATCTACTTTGAAATGGTCATGATTTATGGTCCACAAACTGTAGCCAGGCTTTTATGCAAAATTTGAAAGTTTCAGCGAGATTTCTTGATTTTCATTCGGCTATCATGGTGTTTTCCGTCTTTTGGTAGTATAAAATGTTTCTTATGAAATGTTTCAATTGTTTGTTATGAAATTCTAGGCTTCTTAACTTGAACTCTGATAATTAGCATGATAATGCTTTGCTGGCATATTATCACACGGTAGCGAGTTGGATTGTCGTCTTCTAGGCGATTAGGTATCGTGTGTTCGAATCCTCCTTAAGTCAAAGTAAGAACAAATCTGATGCCTGTGCCAGTACTTTCGTGAGTGGACCCGGTGTCGGCTCTCATTCTGTAATACCAATGACAAGAGACAGCTCTGTAACGAACCATCTACATATAATACATTGTTCCTATGGTACCCAATAAAACAAATATTTTATAAGTAACTTTACTATATAGAAGCTGCTATAATTGTTAAATTATTTAAAAATAATTGATGAATATATCTAAAAGTAGTTATGGAAGTATGAAAAAGGAATTTATGATAATGATCAAGTCAATGTATAGTCAAATATATCAAAAATTGTTATCAAAACTGAAAGTCACTCCAGTACAAATTTAAATTTGTGTTGATAATATGACCTTGTTACTGACCCTAAACTGTGGAATGAAAAAAAAAACTAAAGTTGATTCATAACATATGTGATATATATAACAGAGGCCAGAATTTGTTTTCATATAAATATTTCTGTGGAGTTAAGAGAGAATAAACAAAGTTGACGGAACAGTAAGAAAATGGTAAGATTTTTTCCTTATCTTTTGTAATTAAACTGTTTCATTACAAATTTTTTAAATCTTAAATACATGTGATTGGCAAAATATTGTTTTCTTTTCAGAATCGCTACATCAGTCTTACAATAATTTTTCTTACATTGATCAATCTGGAAACTCTAATAGCAACTGATTGTTCCCGATTCTCTAATGGCTGTAGTACTCCATTTAACGGACCATTGTTCTATAAAACATCTTTTACCCCAGCATGTGATCGACATGATGTTTGTTATAAATGTGTAAGTTAATTTTTTAAACTTTAGTTTTGAAATCTTGACTCCAAAATCTAAACTAGTAATATTTTGACAATCACAACAAAGCATTTAGGTTAACTTGACTTGAAGACAATTTTTCACATGATGTTTTCTATCTTAATGTATACAGGACAGTGCGTATTCTCTTTAGCAGTGAATACGAAAATATTTACTAAGAAAGTGGAATTCATGTTCCATTCCCAACAGTCCAAGAATTTTTAACATCTACTGCCTGTAGTAATCAGTCTCCACTCTTCTACCATTTCAACAACTCACTAGTATGGTTACACCAATTGAAAATGCCAAAACCACTATTATTAATTTTGGGATTGATGATGTCATAAATAGAATTTGAAAAAAACATATGATATATTTCAGGGAGTAACGTATGGTAAAACTCGTTCTCAATGTGACAAGCATTTCCACCAAAACATGAAAACCATATGTCGCAGACGATATTCAGGCTTCAAAACAATCCGATGTAAAATTGCTGCTAAAATATACTACCTGGCCACAAGAGTTGGAGGCATTACCAGATTTAAACAGGAACCAAAACCATGGTGTACACCAGCTGTGGAGCCGTGTCTGCAACCGATTTGAAAAGCCATGGTTAATACATTAAATCTATCTACTTCTATTGGAATTATAGAATAAAGAGTTACACTCATCCAGTTATCTTCTTGTCTATTTGCTAGAACACTTTTCAGAATGACAATCAGATGTTCGGATCACATTCATTGAATGAAATATACCAAATAAAACTGACAATTCAGCAAAATCATACTATAGAGGTTTATGGAAAATCACCACTTGAGAATTTAAATTCCTGGAAGTGATGACAATGAACCTTCCATTGTACATTTTGTTGAATTGCACAATTTTCATTCTGAAATTTGATACCTATTGTTAGATTCACGCAAATATTTTAGGCAATAAATACTATCACAAACAACATGATACTCAGTTTTTGTCGGCAACTTCAGATCTGGTTTTAAAATCTTGTGTTCTTTATTACTACATTTTAAACTAAGAGTAATAACTCTGATTTTATAACAGTATATTTATTCTATAATTACATATTGACATTATCAAGTAAACATCACAACATTCACTCTATCACTAAATATCCAGATCACAATAGTTGTAAACATAACTTTAACACTGTGTAAATGACTTTCGTTGAATATTAAATAACACAATTTTTTGTCACTACTCCTAGGTTTCAATCTACATTGCCATCATCAGGTGAAGAAAATAAGAAAATAAAAAGAATTGCATATACATAAATAATAAAATCGCAACAATTTATAAAGGATTTCGAATAGTGAATTGTTACTTTCAATTACCCTTAATTTATTAATATCAATGGAAACCTTTTACATCGTACAAATCTTCTGTCATCTACACTCAAAATACAAGATAATTATCATTAAGTGCTGATTTTTTTTTGCCCAGGCATTCACTATTTTCAAAAGATTCCAGCTGAATTCAGCAAAAAAATCAGCCTTTGCATTAGCAAGACATTAACTTTTGATTTTTTAATAAGTACATAGATAATACATTGTTGAAAAAGATGAAGTGAGCAAAGATGTTATTGATGTGGCTGTACAAGCTAGTGCTAAGATTACACAAGCTGCAATATAATCCTTAACATCGATTCAAGTCATTCAATTCAATTCAACACTAGAAATAATCTTTGTTCCATAACTTGTCAACACAGTTACTTTTTTCCAAACAACAATAAAAGGATCAAGTTACAAATATACATAGGATAAATGCAAACAAGATAAAAATATTAAATACATGTACACATAAAGCACAGATAAAAGTCAGTTTTAATAACTGCTGAACAGTTATGTAAAATAGTAATGTTAATGATCCAAAATCGTTATATTACACAAAATTCATTATGTTTTGTTGACCATGTAAATATTGGAGAAAAAAAAAATTAATATGCACATTTTGAAATCTTTAATGAACGATGATTTTACAACTGTTATCATAGATCGACTCAAATAGTTCTGAAAAAGATTCCTAATGTAGTGCCAACCTTTATGCTTTCATACACATTGGGGCGTATGTGCCCAATATGTAATTATTTATTTCAACACATCAGAAACTATGTGAATATAGCCCAAAACTAAACAAAATACATACATAAGGCACATTGATTTGACTTCTCAAAACAGGGACTTCAAAATGAATAAATCTAGAAAAATAAATATATCTGAGTGTGTTGATCCCTGAACAATAAACACAAATAAAATCTTTAATCTCAATACTTTTAAACTTTTAATTATTCTGACCATAAGATTGTTAAAATGGGACATTAAAGCTGAGATCGACTAGGGTAATAAAAGCAAGGAAAACATATTTTCCATGTAAAATATTGCATACTTTATTCATTGCTTGGTATCTACCGGACTTAAAGTATTGTAAAGAGGCTTTCCTAACTTTCTATGTGTAGTGTGGACAATAATTGATGTTATCAGTGTCTCTGATACACATGCAATCTTTAACAGTAAAGCATGATATCAATACAGATCAAAACGATCTGTAAAATTTCTATTATTATTTATTCTACCTGTGATTTTGTTTTCAGTCGGACCTGGATGAGCAAAAAATATATTTCCATCACCACATTAGTTTACATTAATTCAGTGTTTGCAGTAATAAAATATTTTCACTGTTGGAAAGCATTTGATACATTAATTGCAGATCTATATCAGATATATGGTTTCAGTGTATATATTTATAATAGCACACAAATCAAATAACAAAACTAACATGAAATACAGAAATCATCTGTTAGGAGAGTTAAATTGTGAATACATTAAACCAGTAGCAGAGATAGCATCACCCAGTCCTACAGTCTTTACTGGTTGTTTACATACTAACACAGGACTAAATACAAACTGAAAACCATCTAATATCCAGCTATTAACAGGTTGACTGGCATTAAATTCTCTGTATATATCACCAGTATATAGTTGATATTTTAACGGAATTCGTAAATCCACAAGATCTGGAGATAAAGTTTTCACATTACAAGCTTGTAAACCTGCAACCCGTACTCCAGCCATCATACCTGATTCTATATTACTCCAAACATTAGGATTAACACCAGCTATATGATAGGTTAAAGAATGAAAATGAATTCTAGTTAGTCTAGAATTCGGGTTTTTATCAGAATATCCATATGTCTTTAATAACCATAATATAATATCTGATATTCGATGTATCAAAGGTTGACCATTCATGTTATGAAAATCTTCAGCATGAGGTCCACCAGCTGCATATGAAGAGAAAAATAATTCCTGCTCATTTAATCCTAGAGACGTTATTGATGGCAAAACCTGAAAAAGAAAAATATATGCATAAATTTGCTCGCGGGTTTAAGTCAAATCAAACCAGTTAATGCTTTAGACAGTTTTTTCAATTTTCAAAAGAGGATAGAGAGTAGTTTTTTAAAGAGAAAAGAACGTTTTTTACAGCTTAAAATTACTGGACTGTTAGTAAGTATATAGCCATAATAATAAACTGAGTTGAGCCAAGGAAACAGCATTCATCAAATTTCTACAAGTCAGACCATTGATTGCAGGCCCTTATTTCAATCCCTTAATAAGTTGACAAGCAATTGAGAAGCAAAATAGTATTATCAATCTAAAATGACAAGTATATTATGTCTATGGAACAACTGTTGTGTAGAACGACACAAGTGTCCATGACATCCAATATGTTATTCTAAAAATACTTCTATATAATTGGAGAAAAGTAAAATACATGTCACACACATCACACCCAAGCGCTTAAAAAACTAGTACACATTAAACACAATTCACATTACACAAGGTAAGGAATGCAGAAAACTTGAATTCATGCCAATATATCTTCTAAAGAACTAAATGCCATGCTTATTTCTTAACCTTATTAGGTGGTGACTAAGATGACGACATCAACTTGTTACTCTCTGTCTCTAAATATCCTGTTAATACAACATTTATACAACAATATACACAACTGTCATGACTTTAGAAAAATGTCATTGTTGGCCACATAGAGAATATGTCACAGCTGTTTCAGTTTAACAAATCCTTTTTTTTTAATTTAGCTACCACATGTTTCACATTACCATTATACACAGTTCCATCAAATGTTGATAATATGATAGCCTCTTGTCCACAACCAGTAATGTGCCTTCATTCCGTCAAATCTATTTACCTCTTTATACAAGGACCTAAAAAAAACATGTTTTTGTTACTCAAGAGTTTCACGCTATGCGAATTTGAGTAACAACAACATGTTTTTTACTTTCTGTTTTAATATTTCTATATTGCTATACAAACGATGTATTGAGCACTATTTTAACAGTGAAAATGCTTTATCATTGTACCTTTTTCTACCTTTAGATTTCTAATATGGTGTAAAAGAATGTGTATTGTCTTTGAAATAACACATACACTAACAAATTACCTTTTGTAGTATATGTTGAACATATTCTTTATCTGCCATGCTGGCTAGTTCTAAATGTACAGGTACATTAGTTGGTATGTTTCCTACTCCAGCTGTAAATGCATCAATTCTCTTCCTAAAGAATTCATCTCTTTCGCCATCTAATAGATGTAAACCAGATAGCAACACCAAATCAGGCTTAAAATCTTGTACATTTTGAAAGAAAGTTTCTAACATGGTCATTTTGGAATTTGATTCATCATAACTAGTAATAAACCTAGTTGCTACATTGGCTGTAGAATCTCCCCACCTCTCCCCTACTTTATATTCCATTATTAAATGTGTCTCATCGTGCTTGATATGACTATTTTCAGGAATGATAATGGAATTGGGCATCATTTTTAATAATTTTGGTCCTATTGGTCCCACAAATTGTATCTGAAATAAAAACCACATTGTTATTTTTTGTCTCTATGTAAAATCATTTCTAATAGAAAAAAAATTATGTTAAAGAGTTGAGAATATAATTCTTTGTAAAGAAGTCAAGCTCATAGCTTGATAGGCAAAAAAAGTACAGGAAGTGCTAATTCTTTGCACAGACAGGTGTTTCTGCCCTTTATCCTGATTCTAGAAACGAATGGACACACTCCATGTCTATTGTCCATTATTTTTTTTGCTTATGGATTTAATTTACACCTTTGTTTCAATGTACAGTATATACATATAATGAAAAATAAGTTATAATATTATGTACCTGAACATTTGGAAATAAAACTGATGTTGTTGTAGCCATTAATGCAGCATTTCCACCAATATAATACTATCAAAATGAAGACATAGAAATTTTTTAGTGATTGGTAATGATTGCAATATTAATAAAGCATAATTTTAAAATAAAAGTGCAATTATAAGCTCTATTTTCGAATCAGCTGTTCAACAATATGTTCATGGTCAGGATAATTCTTGCCATGTTTTTATTGAAAGCTAAAACATTTGCCATTTCTTACAAAATGCAACCACTTACCTCAGCTCCATCAACATCATCAGCAGTCTGTGTTATTTTTTCATATAAAACAGGGTCAGTAAATATTCTCTCAGCAGCAGAACCTTGAGTAAAAAAATGATGAAAGGTTTCTTGTAATTCTTGTAAATTATTTATAATGGCATGGTTCTGTAGTCTCCCAGGTGTAATTTTCATCTTCTTCAATAAATTAACCCCATCTACTATAACATCTAAATTACCATTCACCCTACAAAAATATAATACTGAAAACTTAATGATTCAAGGGCATCTATCTCATTACTTAGCCTTGTATCAGTTTTCTATTTCATTTTCATAAACATGATTTACAAGCCTAAATCTTAAAGGAAGTTCTTAATTGTACTATTTTATTGTTTTCTGCACCTTAGGTAAGGGTAATTGACAAAGATTGGCAATGTAGTAATGATGTCATATTCAAAGACATCTTTTCAATCTAGATAGATTGCAGCATATAGTGAAATATTTCAATAGTTTTACAGCCAATACTAGGATCAAATCTGAGGCTAATATCTATTAGCAAGCTTAAGTAACGCTAAAGACGTGACTGTAATAATGTCATTAAACAAGACACGGTGAATGAAAATGTAAAGATGTGCTTCTATAAATTTATTGATTCATACTCAAGTGTAGAATGCTACTATCGATTTATTTCATTATTACTTACCCGACTGATAACTTTTGAAAACTTGATGATGGTTGCTTAATTTCATTTTTCCAGGCGAGGGTAATTTGCTTCTCCAATTCATTCAGTTCAAAGTTGTCATAAACTCTATACTTTGATTTTGAATAAAATATTGCAAGAAAAAGTGCTGCTACTGCAAACACGATATATTTCAACATTTTGGAGAAGAATAAGAATGATGACACGTGTGAAAATATTATTGACAGGTTTTTGTTGACATTTTGAGAGCCATGGAACACCTCTGTAAACTTCCGGTGGAAGTCATTCCGCATAATATAGTCCATGTACACCCTCATATTGCCGACTTTGAATGTTGTTTAAGAATGAATTAGAATGGTGTATATACACACATTATAACCATTCTTGAAATATTTGATTACTGAATGAAAATTAATCAATATTTACAATAATAATACATTCGGTACGAGGAGTGTGAAATTGATATCATTTTCACAGTGTAGTAATTTTATGTGTTCGAGTTGTCAATTCATAACACGAAGTAGTCTGAATGAATGAACAAACCGAACGCAGTCTTCTAATTTGAAGGTGAACATGGCCACTGATGATGTTATTGAATTGCAAGTGTGGAAGGGTGATTGGGATTTACCCTCCGTTGATCCATCGTGCCTAGCAGCACTGGTAACACAATTCTTTGACTCTTTAATTGCATGTGTGAGATAAAATGAATGGCTTCATTAGAGATATCAATAATTCAAAGTGAAAAATCAAAACAAAGTGAAAGTAGAATTTGCATCTCACTGACACTGGAATCCCAATAAATGTCAACAACTCTCTGACATCTTTTCGGATTGAGCTTTTAAATAAAATCTTCTTTACCTATTGTTCTTTAGTGCTTGTACTTCTGATGAAAATGTCAATTAAGGTGTAGAACTTTAGGTAGGCTTAGCTAGATGGTTCTGTTAAAGTTGGAATGTTGGTCTGACAATCTGTCAATTCTGAAGAACTTAAATAACGTTTGAACTATGATGTAATTATTGATGTATCATAGCTGTTGTAGGTTTATCATTATCATGAAAATTATCAATAACAAATACATGTATTAAAGCTACAAGAGTATAGGACGATGTCAATGTATTTTAGTAAGTCATTCTGTCTTTCTTTGTACTTGTAGGCATATTGCAGATTTTCTGGGGTTCCTGTCAAATTGAAAAAGATTGGCAATCCATGGAGATCACCATCAGGTAGTCTTAGAAGAGTGTTAACTTCCTAGTTAAATCTTCCATACACGCCACTTGTACATTATTTGCATATAATTCCACTTGTACATTATTTGGTTAAAATGGTGCATAAAAATGATTGATAGCCTAAGGCTATCTTATAGGTACTCAGAAGATTGAAAATTTGCAAGTCTTGTATATTTGATTTAACTTATTTCAACTGTTTTAATTTAAGGTGAATTGCCTATTATGAGGCATAAAAAAGTAACAGAAACTAAAGTTACAGAAATATTCAGCTATTTGAGAAAACAGGCAAGTGAATTATTACAATATAATGTAAGGCTTTATTTCAAACGATATAAATTTCTAACTAGTAACATGCCTATAGTACTTATTCTCTGTTATAGAATTATGGGTGTGATTTTAATTTATCCAATAAACAAAGTGCTGATGCCATAGCCTTCTCTTCCATGTTAGAAGAAAAATTATTACCAGCCATAGTAAGTACTGATAATCTATATATAGAAAATAGCACAAACTTGTTTTTGATGGAGCCATTCCTTTACCATACAATTATTTTTTTTTTCAAACTGTATTTTGTTCTTTTCTCTTTGAATTCCTGTTCATCTGTTTTAACAGCATTTGATGAAAAACAGGACAGATAAAGGTGCTTTTTGAATTGAAATGTGCTTATGTTAGAACTGTACAGATTGTAAAATCGCATTTCAGCTCCATCTTTGGTGGGTAGATAACAAAACCTATTCAGATTTTACCAGACCATGGTATGCTAAAGTTCTTCCCTTTCCATTGAATTTCTTCATCCCAGATCAAATACAGAAGAAAGCTTCAATGAGAGTAACACTGACTAAGGGTGGTAGTAATGTTACAGATAGTGAACTCGAAGCTAAGGTACACAATCTTTTATTCTTCATACTAATTACTAGATTATATGGTATTAATTTATTGTTTTGGAAATTACAAGCTGATTTGAACATGATCCCATGATGATATTCATGTGTCCTTTATAAGCTTATTCATTTTATACCACCAAGTCACTGCAGTAATCTTTTCTGAAATAACATAAGAGTCTTGTAATCTTAAGAATTTCACCAATGTGTGATTAGTTTCTGAATTTTAAAGTATCAAGAATATAAGCATGTGATTTTTTTTAGATTTGTATTGAATTTATTTTTTTTTCAAGATTTATAAAGAAGCTAAAGAATGTATGAATTATTTAGCATACAGACTTGGTAAACAAGATTATTTCTTTGGCAATGCGTAAGTTGTTTTTTTAAATTGAAAGACTTTTGGAGACATATGGAAATCTTAAATTGTCCTAGCAAAATTTCCCTTGTTGCACACTGCATGGTTGCTAGTCCATACTAATGCTGACATCATTTTGTGATTTTTCTACCATAACTGAAGTGAAGTTGGTTTATCATTCATTTAAAAAATCCAACTTGTTTAGTTTCTGCTAACTGAATGTAAATTTATGGGAAATATCCATTAAAAATTGTGTTGGAGTTGCAAGCAAAGAGAAAGAACGCCCCATTTCTCACTCTTAAGTATTATATTTATTTTTATTTTCAGTCCATCCTCATTAGATGCATTAGTATTTGGTTATTTAGCTCCGATATTAAAAGCACCATTACCCAACAATCAGCTACAGAATCATTTAAAGATGTGTGATAATCTATGTAGTCTATGTAATAATATCTTACAAAGATATTTACCTCCAGATCCAGGTCAGCTTACAAATTGATTCTTACTTGGTTCCCCTACAATTTAATAACTTCAACCCGGTTTCCCACTGTCAGTGATGCAGTTTGGAAGGAGTGACATAGAAAAAGCATCTAGGGGCTGTGCACAATAAAGATACCTCAACAGTTTGAAATAAAAAAAGAGTAGGCTAATGCTGCTGTCCTGGCAAAATTTCCCTCATTGCACACTTCATGGTTTTGCCCATCTTTGGTCTTGCCCATTAGCTCTGTTAGGTGCAGAAGAGTAGAACGTAAAACTCCATTCATTTTATTATTTTACAACTTAATAGAACAGTTTCCTCTTTAGATTTTTGTTCAGTCTAGGAAAGTTGGAATTGATAATCACATTTGTTTTTCTTGTAGAAGAGGTTGAAAAGAAAAAAGCTGAGGAGAAATCGAAACCACAATCCACAACAGAATACAGTGACTTCCCTCACAGACGTAGAAACATGATATTAGCAGCTATATTTGCTCTCAGTGCTATGGCGGGTTATGCTTTACTCAGTGGTTTAATACATTTACAAATAACAGACTCTGATGAGGACAATGACTTAAAAAATCCTCATGGTTACATACAAAATGAGGAGGATAATGAGGAATATGAGGATGGACGTGAGGATTAGAATGAATTAATTTATGTACTTGATATAGTCTGAGCTTGGATCTTGTTAGAATCTCAACTGATTTGGTTAACACAGCCACTATTCCAGTAAATTTGTATAAGAGCTTTAGTCAATCTTGACAACTGAATCCTTTTCTTTCGAAAATCTTTTCAAAGGGTTGTTTTGGTTGCGTAAATTGCCAGATCAGGCTGGGGGGTTTTTTTGCGGGTTTATGATGCATCTAATGATAGTCTCTAATAAAATTATTGTTTTGGATTATCACAAAAAGAAAGTTAAATTTTCGTGGCCTTTAATTATGCTCTTCAAATGTAATTAACAGATTCCATGCCAGATGCTAAAAGTGCTTAACATGATGGGTATACCAATAAGTACATGTATATGTTAACAATTTGTATTTGAAAAAGGTGTTTGTCTCTATAGATTCATTAATGATATTAAAATGTAATGTTTGTTTTCTAAGTGGAGTATAAATCATAAACAAATATATTTGATTGTATGCTTTATAAAAGCCTTCATTGACACGTACTTAAAGTAAAATACAATGTAGCATAGGAGATACTGAGGCGGTTTGTGGCAAATTATTAACTGTGGTTATAAAGAGTTGTTTCCCCTTAACTAGTATTCGCTTATAGATTAACCGGATATAAATTTAAGCATGGTTATGTGACAAGTCCAATGTTGAAACTTTTGGATCGACCCACTATAGAGTCTCGAAACAATTCCATCAACCAACAAGAAAATAGCATTAAGGAACAAAACTTTCCCTACTCTACTAGACCGAAACATCTGCCTCTATTCCGGACTGTGACATCTATTTTGAAGGTTTTCGACTAGAATAATAGAGGCATATGTTTTGGTCTAAATATGTCCAAAAAAAGCACACCATCAGATGCCCTTTTGAATGAAAACAAGTTTGATTTATCTCATTCCGAAACTATTGTGATCTATGAATCAAGACTCTCGAACTGGGAGAAATTCCTGGTTTGATTGCACTGGGCGTATAATGATAATAAAACTTTTTCTATCGAGACTAATAAAAATTCTACTAATATTTAAGTGTAGCCTAACTTATATCTTTTTCTGTAAACACCTGCTTTAATTCTCACAACTCAATAAACACATCTATTTTATGTGTTGCTTTTATAGGTTGTTGGACACGAATCAAAGCAAAACGTGGCTTTTTAATTTTTATTCTATGTATTAAAATGATATAATTGTTACTAAATCAATATCTATATCATTTTGAATTTACATCGAATATAAACTTGTTTATGCAAGCGTCACTCTCAACCAAGAGTGACTATGCAGGCGTGATTATCCACGAGCGCGATTGTCTACTAAGAGTGGCTGTATGAAGCGTGATTATCTATTAAGAGTAACTGTCTACCAAGAGTGATTTTCTACTTAGACTGTCCGTAAGCGTGACTGTCTATTAAGAGTGACTCTATGCCAAGAGTGGCTGTCTACCAAGACGAGACGTTACCAGTATCATACAACAATAAAATTGAGGGTAAAAAATATATAAAGTTTTATTATTAACCAGGTGTGTTGGCTATAAGCACGTCACGACAGTTATCATAAGAATACCATTATCAAATATTGAACTTAAAATTTTTGCGTTTTTTTCTGTAGTTTGGTATTCTCCACCAGCCTAATATTCTGATTAATTGATGAGAAAACGTGTCAATATCCTTTGTGTAGGCTAGTATTCTTTATATAAACAGCCAATAAAAGGTCATATCCATCAGCGATTGGAAATGAGTCATTATAAACTGATCTTTGATTCCATATCGGTCTTTAATCGTGTTGAAAATGAAAACATTGATCTGACAAAGAATTAACACGATGTCGTGATTATCAGGCATTATTTCCTGTTTAATTGCTCTAATCTTGGATGAGATGTAATGAATCGCTCAGTGGTATGAAATAACAGCTGGAGAGGTACAGTGGGTATTGTCACAAAATATGTAATATTCCTGAATAGCTGGCTCACTTTCAAGTATATAAATCCAGGGATACTGTAGTTATAAGATAATATGTAAGCCTATATAAATTTTAACCTACATATCAATGCAGTCGTTATTTCCGGTCTGGTTTTATTTTTGCAAAGTTGAGCTGCAGATAGTATCCGGGAAAACGGAAAGCCTTCTGTGTTTACAACGGATCTCTGAAGCTGATAAAATATTCCCACCAATACCATAATCGATGTTGATTTTGATCCAAGCAATAGTCTTTTGCTTTTCTCTCAGAAGTTTTGGATGTCAATGGCCTCGAGGAATGTGGTCAATATTTCATTCTTATTCAAATATTTTGATGGCTGTACAGAAGTTCAAAAGTCCAAGAGGTGTAAAGGTCTCGCGTCTCATCTGTTCTAATGTAAAATTATCGCTCAGTCAGTACATAATAGTCTCCCGAATTCATTTTAATACTCATCTGTATATTTATTTACTTTTTGATAATGAATCAATATTAAATTGATAAAAGGATACATCATAAACTACTAGTAGTTATAAGTCCACATCTCTCTATGAGGGCCCCCTTGGTAGCCCCGGTGATCTTGAATATTGAATAGTTTTACCACCCATCCATCTGTATTCTGTCAGTTTTACCACCCATAGATCTTCATTCCATCAGTTTTGGTAACCATATATACGTATCTGTAATCTGTCAGTTTTGCCATACATCTATACGAAATCTGTCAGTTTTGCTACCCATCTATCTGTAATATGTCAGTTTGCCACCTATCTATATGTAATCTGTCAGTTTGCCACCCATCTATCTGTAATCTGTCAGGTTTGCCACCCATCTATCTGTATTCTGTAAGTTTGTTAGTTATATCACCCACCTATTTAACTTCTACCAGTTTTACCACCAAATTATCTCTATTCTATCAATTTTATCAGTATATATTATCTTCAGTCTACAGATTAACAATCTGTGATCATCCTGCTTTCTTCCACCAATTATTTATTGTAATTCAAACCAATGAAGATGATGAATTTTAATATTAAGAGTACAGAAACAAAATGTATGTATACGAGGGTCAGAAAGATGGACCGTAATCCAAAGTACGACAGAAAGAAACGATTATATTTAATCTGATATGACTACAGCTCAATAGCATCTTATCACATGATTAACTTAATAAGCTATAGAAATTGGTGTAAAACGATAGGAAGGGACAAGATTCAACAAATCTAATCTCTTGTGAAGGCTGAGGAAAACGATAGGGGTTAAAGTACGGGACATCAACGTTAATTTATAGTTGATAAAACATGGGTTTGCTCTCTGGTTTTTTTTTTTTAGGCAAAACTGCTTTATGCTAGTTGAAGTAAGAGGTTGGCCTATCCTAGAATATGATGTGTATTGAATGGTATTTATACTTATCTCAGCCAGTTTTACGATTTTGTATGAAAAATTAATGTAGGCCTATGCGTCAAGAATATTAAAATAGTAACTTGCTATAATTCTAGATGATTCTTTCTGATGAAATATCTAATACGATGGTACAACGCGTAATATGGCGTAATATTGCTCTGTCATTGTTAGATGTTCAAGGGAAGGAACTCGTGAAGATTTACAGTGATAATACTATATACCAGTAACCACAGTTTGCAACGACAATAGTTGTCGACAACAATTTGCCCTACAAGATAACAGCTTTATCAGTGAAGCAGATATGAAGAAAAACCTTTCAACGAAGGTGTGCATACAATAAGTTTATTCTATTTTAAATTCCAATCTTTACGTAACATCGGAGTTTATATAACAGCTTGCTACCAGCTGCGTACTCGAATGCGGAAAATCGAAGCAAGTAAAAAATATACTTGTTGCGGTAAAATTTCACAGGTATAATTGGAATGACACGTGAAAGCATTTATAGTCATGTGCGCACGCATTATTTCGTGCCGTCATCCTGCTTAACCTCAAAGCATCTTTTTAAAGGAACTCTACCTCTAAGAATGGACATAAAATTGAAAGTCTTTAACTTTGTATTATATTCATCAGCTTGACTTACCAGGTACTATGGCTAAAGAATAGAATAAGACAATATATCCTTTAAACTAAATAATTAACGCTTCTAAGCTTGTTTCAAGATTACTTAGTTAGTGGATTATTACTTAGATTTATGGATTAGTGGAATTCTGTCGTATAGTATTGACACTATGTAAGTTCACAGATGAACAAAGACTCATTTTGGCCAAGTTTTAATATTTCAATTTTTTTCTCATCGTAAGAGGTAGTATATCTGTAATTCTGCTCTCCCCCGATTATACAAACAAGTGATAGGCCTAAAAATTCAAATTGAAGGTTGTATAAACATATATTGTATATATCAAAGTTTCAAACAGACACACAAGTCGCATATTTATTTACTTTTTTTTTATTTTTGCATTAAAGTTTTTCTCGACATGAGGATTATAAATTTATGGTATTTTCCGCCAAGGTCAGACCTCAAAGTGGAGCAAACAAATAAATATACATTACATTTGTTACTCAAAAAATATCTTGATGTTATAATTCTTCATTTTTATCACTGTGTAAATATTGTCACGGTAAAGGAGAGATAAATTTGCGAATAATTTGATAATTTGAATTTAACATCTAGGTTATTATAGGATGGGTCTTGAGGGCTACGTACAGGTATTTCGTTGAATAAGATGATAGTTTAAATCAAATTCTTTGATAAATAGCTGATGAAATGTTCTCAGAAACAAAATTTTATTGTAGGAAAAAAACAAGTTACGAAACAGTCCACAAAACGAAAATGGCAAATCGGAAAAATATTAGAAGATAGTTATAAATGTTTCTTTTCTTACTATTGCTGATAACCTAAATAGCACAAAATTTGAATGATTTACAATATTCCCCAATGATCCTGCTATATGGAACTTTTTACTATTTCTATTCCGGTTATCCTGCATGCATACTACTTATTACAAGACAATACACAAATCCCTGGTCTAGATCTCTATATAGAAGTAAGGTGTTCAAAATTTAGAACTATGTCTACACTCGCTGCAAAACAAATAAAGGAAAATACAAATTAATGAAATCGATTTGTAATCCAGTTTTCCTTTGTTTTATTGTATCATTAAATTGATATAATATAAACCTATATAGATCCTAGATATATATTTTCTTATCTCGTTCCACATACAAATATAACGTGTGATATCATTAAACTAGAAAAAATCTATCGTAACATTTTATTGACAGAGAAAGTGCATTAAACCCATAAAATCCCATCTTGATATATAAGAAAGTTCTTTGTCCTCGATTGACTTCTGACATTTTCATGAATTGCATTCCTTATGGTCGAGGTATGTTTTTAACTCACATGATAAGTATAGACTATTTTTATAATCTTTCTCACTATCAAAATACTCGTGTGTCCAAATTAATAACAGTATATCTTATACGTTTACCTATTCTTATGTATTTCAAGTTATTGTTCAGTTTGTAAATTCTTCACTATATACAGACAAATTAATAATTACT